TCTCTCTCTCTCTCTCTCTCTCTCTCTCTCTCTCTCTCTCTCTCTCTCTCTCTCTCTCTCTCTCTCTCTCTCTCCCTCTCTCTCTCTCTGTGTCTGTCTGGCTGTCTATGAGGCCACACCTTTCTAGCTGTCCTATATTATACAGACCTGTATGACGAGGGCATACACAGCCACGCACCTAAGTTGGTCGAAAAATGAGACTGCCTTCCCATGACCCATCATTTACTCAAACTTCTTCAGATTGTCTATCTCCCTCACAATGCTCTCTATGGCATCATCGTCGAAGCGCCCTTCTTGCTGCAAGAAGTGCAACATGCACACACACACACACACACACACACCAAGGATATCTGTTAAGAAGACAAATGGACCCCTTACTCCCAATCCAAAAAGAAAATCGATACTTCAAAAATCAACCTGCAATGCACCTGAAATGAACTTGGCAATGTTGGCATAGGATTTATATCCCCCCCCCCCCAACGATTCGACCGAAAAGATGCACGTACAAATCCCATGGGAATAGCCTGCTGGGAATATAAACATAAACAGCACTGTCTACTCGCAGTGACGTCCACTCCACTTCCATTTGTCGATTAAAAAAAAAAAGAAAGTACAGACATAAACAGCACCTTCTGTTCCCAGAGATTTCTATTCCAAATTCCAATGCGATTTGAACATAGGTCCCTCGGAATACAGAAATCAAAAGCATTGTATATTTAGGTTCCTTGGAGTATAGACATCAATAGCAATAGCAATAGCAATAGCAATAGCTATTGCGATTGCGATTGCGATTGCGATTGCTATTGCTATTGCGATTGCTATTGATGTCTATACTCCGAGAACCTGCACATGGTGACCTTAGCAGCAGTCTAGCACATGACCACAGGAGAGCCTCCTCAGGGCACTGGCAATTGTTTTCCCCGATGGGGTGCAAATTTGCCGACAATCCTATTGCACATTAAAAGGCAAAGCAAAGTAGAACGAGCTCGCAATGGATGAATAAATCCCAAGGGGATAGGTAGGTGATGAAAATCCCATGGAAAAAGAACCAAGTTCAACCAATGGAAGGAATTTAAATTTTAAATTTTAAACAAAAAGGTCCAGAGAAAAGACAAAGTCAGAAAAATCCTATGCTTAGCAGGCACTCGGACAGTCACACCCGCGCCAGCTGGACACGGGGGGCTCACCTGGGAAAACTGGGCGCATAAAAAAAGAGGCAAGGATCCCCCAA